CTCATACTCACTCCTTTCCTAATTATCCCGTATTTGTTAAATACAAGATAATAGATTCTGACAAGCAATCAGCAAATGGGTACCAAGTGATGTGCAGTCGTCATTTAGAGAAAATTGTTAATATTTTGGTATATAATGTTCCCATCAATTTTCTTTTCTTTTGTTTTCTTTTCTTTTCTTTTCTTTTCTTTTCTTTTCTGAGACGGAGTCTCGCTCTGTCACCCAGACTGGAGTGCAATAGCATGATCTCGGCTCACTGCAACCTCCACCTCCTGGGTTCAAGTGATTCTCCTGGGTTTACAGGTGCGTGCCACCATGCCCAGCTAATTTTTGTATTTTTAGTAGAGACGGGGTTTCGCCATGTTGATCAGGCTGGTCTCGAACTCTTGACCTCAGGTGATCTGCCCACCTCAGCCTCCCAAAGTGCTGGGGTTACAGGCGTGAGCCACCACGCCCGGCCCCCATCTACTTTTAAGACGTGTGTGTGTGTGCACATACATACATATATGCCTAATGTATATAAAATATATAATATACATATGTATATATGTGGCAGAAGTATGTGTGTATATAGAAATGCATGCACAGGTAGTCATTATTTATGCAGCAATTTATGCATAATGTATATCATTTAATCCTGTTGATGTTCTTCTGAAACATGTGCTTGTTTCATTGACACCACATTGACCTGCAATATTCTTCTGCATCATGGAAGAATGTAGAATGTCCTCATGGTATTCCATCTCATCTCACACTATAGTTAGCACTTCTGTTATTGGACGTACAACTGTTTCCATTTATTTGCAGTCACATGTCAGGCTGTGATAAACATCTTTAATCAAATCTATGTGCACGTATAATTTTCCCTCCGGACTATATCTTGGTGGTGGAATTTCTGAACCAAAGAGTGAGCACATTTTTCAAACAATTGAAACTCATGGCCAGTTATCCTCCATAAAAGTTGTTCCAAATTTCACACAATGGGCCTTTTTTCCCACGAACTTGCCGATCTTAATGGTTTGTAATTTTTAAAAAATTCTTTAGTTTGTAAGTAGCTTTTCATTATAATTAAAACAACCTTGATTATTAAGGAGTAGCCAGAAGCCCTTTAAACCGAACCTCACTGGCATTTTTTGTTTGTTTTAAATCAGGATGTCAGCCTGTTTAAATTGACCAAGTACATGAAAAGGAAAACAAAACAAACATTTCTTGACTCTAAAAGACCCTTAGGGTGGTCTACAGCCTGCATCTCTCTGACTTCCATGACTGAGGCCTGGGTCTGCACTCAGCAGGACAGGCCACCTTAGGCTGGGCCCCTGGGGGCCATGCCAGGATTGGGACTGGGGTGGGGCTGGTTGACAGGAGTCTTCTCGAATTATCTGAGAATCTCACAGGGGAATATATGTGGGTGTGCTTTTTTCCTTTGGCAGGACGGATTAGGAGGACTCAGAGTTTTTCTTCTTGTGCAAGGATAACAATTTGGTCCCCAGATTTTGATTATCTCATACTCACTCCTTTCCTAATTATCCCGTATTTGTTAAATACAAGATAATAGATTCTGACAAGCAATCAGCAAATGGGTACCAAGTGATGTGCTTCATTTTAATTGGCTTGCCTTTTTTTTCCTTCTCTGCTAAATTATAGCCCATCAGCATGAGATTCCCTGTGGTGAGCAGCTAATAATATGCCCAGGTGCAGCCAATTTTACTTCCTAAAGAAGAAATAGTAGCTACATATTCCCCGAATTTGAAGTGGAAAAGTGGGCTGTAATAGCTGTTCTCAGCAGTGCTGCATGCTAGGGCACGTTTTACATCCGGATCTCTATTCTAACCTTTTTTTTTTTAAATGCAATGGCAATTAATTTGCATTATATTGATGAATTAATGAGGCACAGTACAGAAGGTTTTCTTAGAGACTTCTGAGAAATCTCTTGTTTAATTTTGCCTTGGATGTTACAATTTTTAAAAAATCTTTTTTTAAGAATTAGGAATATAAAACCACTGTAGATAAACACAGATGAAAATATCACTGTTAAATGAACCAGTGAAACAACATTCCATAATATGTATTTTCCAAAGTGGTGCTAGGATGTGGCTTTGCTTTGGTGCACAAACCCTAGACAAATGTACCCAATGGAATGTCACTTAGGTTATTGGGAACATTTTTCCCTATTTGCCATTAATAATATTTGTTCCTACTTAAAACATTTTAGTGACTTTTAATTAGCTACAGTGAGGTGGGAGTGCATATTTTAATTTTTATCTAACTTAATTTTATTTTTAAGCCACTTGACCATGATGTGCAGTTTTCAGATAAACCCAAATATTCTTTCTGAGGCTAAATCAATAGCGATTTTCATCATCACACACTCCACACA